ACAAGTTTATATATCATGAAATGTTGTTGTGCAGCATTATTGCATTTTTCAACTGATGGATAAGAATCCAAAATAATACATAATATCCAGTAACATATTTTTCTCTTATAAAAACAAAAGAAACCTATTTTTTGTATTACTAATAAGAAGGTTTTTTTTTTTCAGCTGACCAAACCCATCTCCTCATCTGGGGTTTTAACCTCTAAGAACTTGGTTGTCAGTGACCATGACTTAAGAAGTGTTTATTTTTGTTTAAGTCCTAGTCAGAAGTGGTTTGCCTCAACTGGACCTGATGGAAAACTTTGTGTGTTTTCTACAAGTCATCTTGTAAGTTGTAGTTTTGTTTTACAGTATGTACTGTAAACCTCTTAGTTTATTTAGGTACTTTTGTTGAAGAAATTATATAAATGTTGTAAGTTTCATTTTATATATATATATATATACACATGTTATTCAAATGTTCTTGTTTTTATGGTGATTACTTTTAAAAAAATGGTTTTAATTGTTGAAGGCTTATACATCCTTCCAAATCTTCATGATATACGTACTTGTACATCTTTCCAAATCTTCATGATATATAAACTTGTACATCCTTCCAAGTCGTCATGATATACGTACTTGTACATCTTTCCAAGTCTTCATGATATATAAACTTGTACATCCTTCCAAGTATTCATGATATACGTACTTGTACATCTTTCCAAGTCTTCATGATATATAAACTTGTACATCCTTCCAAGTATTCATGATATATAAACTTGTACATCCTTCTAAATCTTCATGATATAGAAATTTCTACATCCTTCCAAGTATTCATGATATATAAACTTGTACATCCTTCTAAATCTTCATGATATATAAACTTGTACATCTTTCCAAGTCTTCATGATATATAAACTTGTACATCCTTCCAAGTATTCATGATATATAAACTTGTACATCCTTCTAAATCTTCATGATATAGAAATTTCTACATCCTTCCAAGTCTTCATGATATATAAACTTGTACATCCTTCCAAGTACTGTTAAAAGAAAAGTAAGGATAACTGACACATACTGTGGTACACAGTCTTTAACAAACTTAATATAGGATACCCATCATGCTGCAGTCATTAACATAAATAAAGATAAGCTAAATAACATCATGCTGCAGTCATTAACATAAATAAAGATAAGCTAAATAACATCATGCTGCAGTCATTAACATAAATAAGGATAAGCTAAATAACATCATGCTGCAGTCATTAACATAAATAAGGATAAGCTACACACATCATGCTGCAGTCATTAACATAAATAAGGATAAGCTAAACACATCATGCTGCAGTCATTAACATAAATAAGGATAAGTTAAACACATCATGCTGCAGTCATTAACATAAATAAGGATAAGCTACACACATCATGCTGCAGTCATTAACATAAATAAGGATAAGCTACACACATCATGCTGCAGTCATTAACATAAATAAGGATAAGCTAAATAACATTATGCTGCAGTCATTAACATAAATAAGGATAAGTTAAACACATCATGCTGCAGTCATTAACATAAATAAGGCTAAGCTAAACACATCCAACATGTAAGTTATATAACGGTGAATTTCTGGAAAGCAAACTGAAAGAGAAACTAACAGATACGTACCACTAGTGGCAATCTCTGAAACTGACGACTAGTTGGAGAGAATGTTATGTGACCATGCCGAGAATGAGTAGCCAAGCCACGTCCTGGCAGTCTAAGAACACGTGTTACGGACTGCAGCAAATCTTCTTTTAACTCACCTAGTTGATTGGTTCGATATACCTTGGGATCTGATAGAAGTCAAAATGGTAATCACTAAAGTCTTTAAAAACTTGTGAACTAAGACCAGTATAATCCAACTATATCAATATAAAAAAAATGCTAGTATCGGTAAAAACACATGCATAAGGTAGTCTCTAAGAGCATACAGAGTAGAGTTTTACGACCCGATAAACAATGTTATCTATTAACAGTAAAACTTTATAAATCAAAATTAGGTTTAATCTGTTTCTTATAGTTGTATTACTAACTTATGAAGCACAAAAAAAAAATGTTTGAAATGACGAAGAACTAAAGATAAAAAAAAATTTAACATTTAAAAGGTATTATGTAAAAAACTACTTTGAAGACAAAGTAAAAAAAAAAAGGTGTTTAGATAACACTAATCTTATGTAAATAAATACATATGGTTCTTCATAGTTTCAAATCTTGTACTATACATGTATAATATAATCATGGGCAGGATTTAAGACGGGGGCAGATTTCCACCATAATATCGCTTGTTTTTTAATCTTAGTAACATGGGAAATGCTCCCGAAATAGGATGATTTTTAGCCTCGGCATAGCAGCCCATAGAACGACTCCGTGTTTTATTTTCAAGTACAAACTTTTAGCTCATAACTCCGTCATCTCTTGACCAATTTGAGGTCTAATCACAGTTTTGGACACAGGAGGTCAAACCCTTTCAATTGAGGTATTTGACCACGCCCAATGTCTCATAGATTAATTTACTCTAATCCTGCTTAAAATAATTTCAAGTGCCACGGCTGTTGAGGGTTCCCTCGTGTTACATTTAAAATTTTTAGAAACCCAAGAGCTTTAAAGTGCGTAAGACGCCCCCAGACCCCTGCTACAAGCCCTATTGAAATCTGAAATGATACTCGTGAAACACAGTTAGAATGGGGCTTAGAAACATCATGATTGTACAGGACTTCTGTATATTCAATAGAGAATTTAGTACATAGTGTGTAACTGCCAGTGAAAAGTGATATGTAGCAATAAGAAAAGTTCAGTACCTTACCAAAGTAGATATATAACCAATGATTTTAATGACACGTGTAACTGGATTTGGTTACTTTCGTTCATTTCATTGGGCATTCAATAAATCCTTAATTTTAGACATAGATAGGATTATGGGGGGCAAGGGGAGCAGTTCTCCCCTACACTTTTTTTAATGTGGGATATAGCATCCACACAACATTCACAATAATTAAGACAGACATTTTTTTTTTGCCCCCTCTCCCACATTTTGTTCCGACCTAAACGACATCGCAACTAGGTTTGTGTTTCACTACCCGTCTCTTTTTTCTTTTCTTACAATAATTAATTGAGAACTCATTAATGTTGCAAGAATGTATCAGAGCGATCATGGCACGGTACTGATGCCGCAGACTTCAAACAGCTTTAAGAAAAGGGTTCAGAGTAATATCGACGTGCTTGAGTTTTGCACCACTCTGTACATCAAAGATAATACCCCCCTACCAGATATCATGTCACTGGGAACATTGAACTGAGCTATTATGTCTCCAGCTTCATCGAGAGAACAGCGTTGAGACTGAAATAAAACTGTAACAACTGTAGGTCCAGCAGCGTCTGCCTCGTGTGACGATAATCCCATTATTTTTCCTTTCATGTCTACGTCAGATAAGAGAAGAAAAAAAAAAGACATATTAAGTTATTAAAGACAAAACATCCTCCACATTTAAGTCATAGTAAAAGTTGAAGCAAACTTAAATGTCAAATAAAGTGTACAGAATTTTTATCAGACCAGCATATAAAGGACAGAAATTCAGATGACGTATATGCCAAAAATGATCTGCAGACAATATTTTTTTTAAATATTACAATGTACAAGACTGATTTAAGTCGATCATAACTACTGTTCTGGTCATACAATATGCTCTTAGATAAATCTGCTCCTGTTATTACAACTTATAGAATCATTACTGGTGTCGAGAAATCAGAATGAGACGTCTAGACGTATAAGAACAACTCGAGTAGAAAACTTCACATTTACTTCCTGGATATTTCAAAAGAATTCTTGTACATCACATTATTCGACCGAATACCTGTGTAACCCAAGACACTGAAATGCTGTAACGGGAGTCCACTGATAAAATATACCATCCCTGTTTTATTTCCCGTCACTAACAGCTTGCCAGAGTTGTCAAAACTAAAAACCAGAAAATAATAAAATCATGATTGAGGTTTTGACTGGAGTGTTGTTTTCCAGTTAGCAATACACAAACACAGTCTATTACTCCATATAAAAAGAAAAATTACTTTGTTTAACCCAATGTTTTACCCCATTATGCCTTCGTGGGGGTTGACAGTTACTTAAGCCTATTAAAATCAGATTGTACCTGTTGTGTCAGTCCAGATAAAGCCGTAATGGGGCAAAACATTGGATTAAACAAAGTAATTTTTCTTTTATGTGGATTAACAAACCGTGTTTATTTATCTCTAAACTAACAAAACTTTTTAAAACTTTTATTTCTGATTAGACAAACAACATTTTGGAGAGTACAAACCAAGAAAAGAGGAGGGTTTGAGATTAGTGTATCAGTGAAATAAATCATATAGAGCACGTAATTATTAGCTCTATTAGCACGTAATTATTAGCTCTATTAGCACATAATTATTAGCTCTATTAGCACGTAATTATTAGCTCTATTAGCACGTAATTATTAGCTCTATTAGCACATAATTATTAGCTCTATTAGCACGTAATTATTAGCTCTATTAGCACGTAATTATTAGCTCCATGTTAAATATTTAATCAACCACTAAATTATTGTGACTTTCTTCAGGACTAGTAGAAACTCTTGATTTCAAAGTTAACGTAATAGTTTCTTATTCCCTTTTAAGTCAGCACAAACAATTTCAACAAATAACAGAAATTAAAAGTTTTTATTTCTTTTCTTACTGTTTTGAAGTTACTACGCCAAACACCAAGTCGCTACATTTTCAATGTAGCACTTACTTCAAGTTTAGATCTTGTATCTGTTACATTATATTTCAATATTTATGTTGGGTGATTTATGTAATAGCCTCTCTATTTATTAAATTATATGCACACCCACTCACCCAAAGGTGTATGTTTCAACTAAGCTAGATGCATGGAAATCTTTACTTGCCCAAAAGGATAACTAACTTGTTTTTAGATACAGAGTCGTCACTTTGTCATGCTGCATAAGTATAATAACACAAACAACAGAAACTGAATATTATTTTCAACGTACTTAAGATGGGTCACTTCATCATGGTACGGTCTCACCAAATGAACGATACGACAACTTTGGTGGTCGCTAGCATCCACGAATAACAAAACTCCATTTTTGGTCCCTACCACAATGAGTGGACAAACCGGACTACAACATGCTGTTGCTATCTGAAATAATAATAACATACACAATCACAAAGAAAAACTATCGTGTGATTTAGTACAAAAACTACTATTTTTGTCCTAGATTTTATACAAATACTTATCGAGAATTCAATCCATGTTTGTTACTTCAAACCAGTTTCCAAACTAAAGCTTCTCTTCTGTAAAAAATTAAGTTAAATACAGTTTCATTGCGGATATTAAATATTTACATTTCAGTGCAAAAATATCAGAAGTTGTGAATAACTGAGAGCTATGTTTTTTGCCCCCCAGTGGCACAGTCTGAGGACTTACAACGCTAGAATCCAGGTTTCGATACCCGTGATGGGCAGAGCACAGATAGCCCCTTGTGTAGCTTTGTGCTTAATTACAAACAAACAAAGCTTTGTTGTTTTTTTTGTCAAGCTTAAAGTTATCTTACCGTTCTTATACTCGTTAACTTTCCTATTAATATGACGAAAAATATTTTATGTTTCTTAGCAAAAAATGTAATCTCTCTTAAACTGTATATAAGTATATGCATCCTAAAGTTAGTTAAGTTTATACGTTAAGTTTTATGCCTAAAGATAATCAAAAAACTTTTTATGATTAACTTCACAGGTTTTTGTTTGTTGCTAAGTGCAAAGTTACACACAATGCGCTATCAATGATATGTCCACCACAGGGATTAAACCCTGCATTTTACTGTTATAAGGCCTCGGAATTACGACTTCGGGTGCACATATTCAAATTAACGATGGTATACGAATATTCATTCATTATCACACGAAGATTTCTGGATACGTCGTCAAATATTTTAACCTCGAAAAACACCAAGATTGATTGGACACATCTGTTGTATAGTTTGTTTTATAGAACACATCGCAAAAACATCTACTGGATGGTACTGTTTGAAACTTGATCGAGATAAACTTTCTACAGATTACGCGGCTTCTGTACAATATGTAGTTAAAGGTTTAGTTTTTAAACTGGGGAAATAGTTCTAAGTAACCCGGTTAGTCTATCAGATATGCATCGTTCAGTTGAACAATAACTACCGTATCCCATACCTTTTCGTGTACGTCAAACTTTCCTTCTCGTTTACCTGTTTTAACATTCCAGATTTCGATAGATCCCTTCAGTCTTGAAATCTGCAAGAAATTGATATACTTAGAGCAAAAGTATCCAAGATATCCTCAACAATAATCCTTAGTAAGTTCGACTACATCAGTCAATTTCAACAACGGTGATACAGAAAAAAAAAGGGAATAATTATATTTTCTACAGAACAAAATCAGCAAGCGGCCTATAATAGACAATAATATATATATATATATATATTACATGCAGCATTTTTTGCAACTCGTAATGAAAGAATGAATTTAACAGAAGCAATCTATATTTTTGAAAATAACAAAGATAGTATCAAAAGAATTGTTTGCTTTACTGCACGCTACAGAGTGACCCGTCTGACCATGTGGAAAGGAACCCAAATTTTAGCACTGTAATTCATTTACTGTTGACCCACTGGGGGGTCTATTAAAAGAAAAAGAGAGAAGACTTAATATGAGTTAACGTTACCTTGTAGCAAGTTAAGCCTGTACACGTTTGTAACATTCGTCTACAAAAGATAAGTTTTATCCTGTGAATGTTAGAATAATTCTATACTAAACTTTACTTACACAAAATTGGTCTTTGACGAATGAAGCATCAGCTTATACTTACACAATAGTGGATATCAAGTGAAATATGTAAAGGAAACTAGCCATACAGAAGGTATTCTTAGACTGTAGGTCAAGGAAACTAGCCATACAGAAGGGATTCTTAGACTGTAGATCAAGGAAACTAGCCATACAGAAGGGATTCTTAGACTGTAGATCAAGGGAACTAGCCATACAGAAGGGATTCTTAGACTGTAGATCAAGGAAACTAGCCATACAGAAGGGATTCTTAGACTGTAGATCAAGGAAACTAGCCATACAGAAGGGATTCTTAGACTGTAGATCAAGGAAACTAGCCCAATCAAGAGAACCTATGAGACAAACAGGAATCTTAGACTGTAGACAATTAAGTGAACTTACCACCATACACAGGGGAGCCTCAGACAGCAGACAATCATGTGAGCTTACCATACACATGGGAGCCTCAGATGGCAGACAGTCATGTGAACTTACCACCATACACAGGGGAGCCTCAGATGGCAGACAGTCATGTGGACATACCATACACAGGGGAGCCTCAGACGGCAGACAG